CTGTCTGTCTTTCTGTCTTTCTGTCTGTCTTTCTGTCTGTCTGTCTGTTTTTCTGTGTCTGTCTGTCTTTCTGTCTTCCTTGGCGCAAAGTCTGATCTTTCCTCATTATCTTACAGTGTTTGACGCGGCAGCTGCCTTTCTATACGTCTGTCTACCCTCCATTGCATGGAACATCGCGTCATTCCTCGACGCTAAGATCTGGGTCTGCTGGGTGTTTTTAATTGGCTAATGCAACAGCGGAAAGCTTCAAAAACAATAACTAAAGTTGGAACTAAAGTTTGGGTCAACAGACCTCTTTAGAAGGGGCGTAATGTTTTTCCATTTCAGACGATGTGCCATTCCGATCCCTTGAGAATATGATCCTTTATCTAAGTATCTTCATTAACTTATCTACATCTAAGCAATACAGGTAAACAAAGAAAAAATACTCAAGGAAATGACACGTGGGCTGGCAATGCACTATTATCTAAAACGATTCTCGTTTTCAAAGCGCTAGTTCCTTTTCAACTCTACCAAGAAACGAAGAACGTGAACGAGTCTGAACTGAATAGAGCCAACCTTTCCTGGTTCAGTTTTCATTATTTTTGTGGCTTTCAATGGTTTTCTAAGCCAATCAGGAAACAGAGATAACTAGCTAAAAATCATTACAATCAGGAAACAGCACTGCAGTAGTAAATGCTGTAGTCGGATTCGTCCAGAGACCTTTCTTGGCAGGAACCAAAAAAAGCGGGAATGATAATATTTGATTTTGTTCACTCTCTCTTACCTCACAACAGTCAGTGCCATCATTTTGGCGCTCGTCTCCTGGGGACATCACTGGTTTTGCGCGCATCCTGTCAAACGGAAGGAGCTCAACTACCTCATCTTTGAGGCAACTCGGACCTCCCTGGAGAAATTTATAATTGAGAGAATAGGAACCAGGTTGGCTGATCTACAAGACAAAGATCTTTTGGTGAGCATGCGCACTACCGGGAGTATCCGTTAGTAGGGGATTTGAGTCAGGGCGTGACTAACTCACAGATTGAACCCTGAAACAACCTCTGGGTGGATCTAAATCAGGGCATGACTAACTCACAGATTGAACCCTGAAACAATATCTGGGCTGATCTAAGTCAGGCCATGACTAACTTACTGATTGAACCCTGAAACAACATCTGGGCTGATCTAAGTCAGGGCACGGCTAACTCACAGAATGAAACCTGAAACAACCTCTGGGCTGATCTAAGTCAGGGCATGGCTAACTCACAGATAGAACCCTGAAACAACCTCTGGGCTGATCTAAGTCAGGGCATGGCTGACTCACAGATTAAACCCTGAAACAACCTCTGGGTTGATCAAAATCAGGACACTGCTCAATCACAGATCGAAATAGAATTTATGGTGTTATGTGTTGCGGAAGAAGGAATACGGAAAAAAACCCATAAGTCCAGGGAGAGACCTAGCAAACTACTTGTATCTGATACCGAATCCAGAAATCTAGCGTGGGACCCTAGAGTTGATAGGCGAGTACACTACCACACCGCCACCCCTAATTTTTGAAACAAACTACCAAGTTTACTAACGAATTTTCGGTTCAATATTGCTACCTACAGAATAGAAAAGATTCCACTGCAGACATGCCGACTGATGAAGTTACTCTGTCTTTGGCGACAAAGAAACAAGAATGGCTCCGATGCGTGGATCGACAAATTGATTTCTGTCTTAGCGAATATTTAGTCCTCGATTCAGTTACTGTTGTGTATTCTGAAGTTTGATTGCAATGTGTTTGTAGGGACAGTCAACATAGAGATTAGATTAAGTATAGTTGTGACAGATGGCGGAAGGAGAAATGGGAACTCTCTTCTTTTCTCTTCTCTTCTCTTCTCTTCTCTTCTCTTCTCTTCTCTTCTCTTCTCTTTACATTCCAATCATTTTTTTCCTTTCCTTTCCTTTCCTTTCTTTTTTCTTCTTCCCTTCACCCAAAACCTGAATATTTGAAGCACTCAAAGTTGTGACAAGTTGATCTAGATTACCATTAATAACAATACATAGCGATATACTTCATTAGAATAACAATCACACATGTGTAGAAGGCTGAGAAAAGTCACACACTCATTGCAGACTTTCAGATTGTATTTTTTATCGTCCCTTCCATTGAGCCGTACAGATTTCCCACACGTAGTCTCTGAGGATATATGCCAGACATTTCATTGCTTTTGGTGCCAGGACTACACCGTAGAAAGTAACGTAATATCGACTTAAACGCTTCTGCAAGGTCACTGAAATTCTATCATAACAGGAAAAAACACCAGGTTCAGAAACAAGACTCAAAGGAAATTTCATACGCTATTGTAATTTGTAATAATGTATAGTTTTAAGTGTTTATTCGTAGTTTTTGCATTGAGTATTATAAACACGAAGGCAGCAAGATCTCAAGCAAGTGAAGATGAGGAAACTCATGAAGGATTTGAACAAAAAATCCTGCTAGGAGAGGCAGAAACTAAAGAATACTACAAGTTATCCGAGAAAGAAAAAGCTCAACGTCTAAGGTAGGAATAAAATATAAACAACAATATAACTCGGAGACTAAATTTATCTCTTTGGGGAGATTTTGTGACAATAAAATATATTAAACGACTTATAGTTCCTAGCTCTTCAACTAAGTTAGGGGATATTTTTTAAAGATGAAAAAACTATGAAAATTATCCCAGTATTATTACAAAAATATTCTTAAAGTTTTGAACAAACTTAAAAAGAATTTTCAGATTCCTAATTTCCTCTTTGTTTATATATTTTTCATACCAAAGTCGAACAAAAAACCCTGATCAAAATGACAAACTTTCCACTGACATTGTTTTTGATGAATTAAGTTTTATAATTAAATAAGTTGTAGCGACGATTAGTTCATTTTGACAACTTTGATTCATATTCGAGTCAAACATCTGTAGTTTACTCCTTCGTCTACAAATCAAAGCTTTCTCATGTATATTCATCTGATTCATAGCCATTCGTAATAATAAACATAGTTTGTAAACACACTGGGTAAAATGCATTTATCAGTGTTTGTACAGAACCGATCAGGACACAATTTATGACAATTGTGTAAACTTTATCGGGAAAACCGGAAAAATTGTTCTTGGAAGGTTTTTAATTTTGGTTGCTAATAGAAACGATAGAAGCGTCCAGGCATTCAGCAAAGTCAGGGGAAGTCAATGATTAATTGTAGAGTAGAGTAGAGAATCGAGGATTTTAGGATTTTTAAGATTTTAAATTGTTTTTTAAAAGACAAAGGACTGTGTACGTTATATGAAAAGACACTTTGATATATCGTTGGTTCGAGAAACGTTTTCTAGCCAAAGTAGATAAAGACTTAAGGTGTGAGTAGGGGATGAAGAGAGTGATAAATATACAAGAAGAAGTGTTCTTCTTTGCTATAAATCATAATTAATTGAGGGGGACTAATTATAGTGTATGAATACAACTAACTAGTAGACAGCTGGAGGTACAGATAATGAACACTTAACATAAGGCAATTGACGTGCGGGGTTCTTTGTATTTGTATTAGGGCCCATTAGGGGTCTGGTCCTTTTGGCTACGTGTCGGTGCCCGAGAGTCAATATTACAGCCTTGAAAAATGCCAGATTCATGCAGGGAAAAGAGAAAGAAAAAGATTGAAAGAAAGAGAGGAAGAGAGGAAGAGAGGAAGAGAAAGAAAGTGAAAAAAATAAGATAAATGAAAGGAATAGAAAAAAAAAAAAAAAAAARAAAAAAAAAAAAAAAAAAAAAAGGAGACGAGAGAAAACGAGAGTCAACATCTACAGTACTCACCAGACAATGCACAATAACTTCTCGTGTTTTTTTCTTCTTATTTTTTTCTCGACAGAATACTCGTTGAGAAAATGGACAAAGACATGAACGGGACCATTGACGAGGAAGAACTATTGTCTTGGATTGAGAGGAACCATGTTGCTTACATCATACGAAGATCCAGAGAGTTCTTTGAAGATACTGATGAAAACAACGATGGGTTTGTGATGTTTGATGAATATGAGAGAATACATTATCAAAATGGTATGCAGGAGGGGAAATACTGTATTTCAAAGGGGGATTTGGATTGAGGGGAGGGGGAGGGGGAGGGGGATTTGACGGATGGGGAGGGGGATTTGGATTGGGGGGAGGGGGATTTGGATTGGGGGCGGGAGGAGAAGAGGTAATGTTTATATTGATAAGAGTGGGAAATCGTGAAAAGATTGAAGAAGAAAGTATTTTACATGGTGTTCCTCAAGACTCAGTCTTGGGACCGTTTCTATTCTTAATGTGTAATAATGAAAGGTAGTGTTCTAAGTTGGGGAGAATGAGACTGGGGAATGAAACTGTACTCAGGCCAGTTCTCTAACAGATATAGTCTAAAAATCAGTTGATCAAAATTCATATAACACAAAAATATGCTTGGTCTTGGCCCCTTTCAAAAAATCTGTTTTTCTCACCTTCAGACCAATCGCCAAACAATTACAAAAACCCAAGCTATATTACATGGTGTTCCTCAGGCTTGGTCTTGGGCCCACTTTAAAGATCTGTTTTTCTTATCTTTAGACCGAGCACCAAAGAATTACAAAAACACGACCCTCTACCGACATGAAAAACGGCGATTTCGCTTTGCAGACCAGGACAACAGTGGGAGCCTGACCCTCAAGGAGTTTATTTACTTTCTGCACCCTGACGAAGGCAAACATATGCTAGAGTGTATTGTGGAGGTAAAAGCATTCTAAGATCTCTAAGTAGTCCCTTTTACAGTTTCCTGCGCCATCTTGAAAGGTAGCCGTGCCTTTGCATCGAAGCGAGACGAACGGTGAGCTTGCAATGATAGAGACCTTTTTTAACACCTTGGACAATTATTCACGTCTCTAACAATTCAGGCTAATGGGGGGAAAAAACAAAAAAGAAATGACTATTTTCTCTTTATCCCAATATCCCAATCTAATTTTCCTTCTCCTTGTAAGCGCAAACCCCCCACCCCCCCCCCCCCCCCCCCCCCCCCCCGGTCTTCAAAGGCAAACCGGGCTTATAACAGGGATTTTTTACGGCATATGTCGCTAATTAGTCTGTTTTTGAATTCCATAGGAAACTATCGATAACATAGACAGAGATAACGATGGGCTGATCTCAGTGAAGGACTATATAGGTATGTTTGAATACCAAAAGAAATGTAAAGTAGTAGAGGTATTCACATCCAAAACTCATTAAAAAGGCCAGTTTTTGTATGACGGTACCGTAACCGTGGTCTGGGTCTGATTTTGATTGGACAGCGAATAATCTCGCGTGATTGGCTCTTTCAATATCACATGACCGTGCGACGCACCATGAAGAATATGGGGTGTCATAACTCAAAACGCATTACCTAGAAAGTTTCACATGACGGGCCGTGCCGTGCCCGTGATGGCGCCATTTCTGCGTCAATTTTTTTTGATTGGGCAAGAAGTTATAGTCTCTCGCGCGATGTGATTGGCTCAACGAATGTTTCAATCTTGTACATTGACCTTGCCATATTATTTTGCTCAAAGTAACAAATGAATGCAACGTAGAAGGTCAAATCCAATTTGAATGGCGTCCACGCACTATTTACTGAATAGATGATGACGTCATCAAAAAGGGCAATCCAGGACAGTTTTGAAGAGACTTATGTGACGTCATCATTAGTTAAACGAATGAATAAACATTAAGAAACATCCCTAGGGACCCCTCCCCTGGATCAGCTAAGGTAAATTATCATTGATACGTATATTTTTTAATATATCACCAGGGGAAGGGATTCTTGACATGAATGGAGAGCAATTCGTTGAAGCTGTGAAAGCATTCAAAGAACTGGATAAGAACGGTGATGGAGTACTTAATAAGGTAAGCAAATGATAATTTTGATTTTATGACCTTATAAAGCACTCTTTTCCATAGGGATCTGATCAAAGACGCTTTTCAATGACTTATGACTTAGAGGTAGTTAGTATGAGTGTGAGCACTGAGGATGATTCGGTGGTTCTTTTAACGTCCCTCCGAAATTGGTTAGTCATAATAAAGCACGGAATGTTACGAGCGCGATAGACATCTTTGCCTTGGGCGTAATTCTTTTCCATTTCAGACCAGTATCATTTTTACATTGATTTCAGGAAGAAGTGACGAAATGGATTAGACCAGATCGAAAATCAACTGCTGCAAAGGAAGCCAAACACATGCTTGAACATGGTGATAAGAATAAGGTATGTTTACTGCCATACATTTGAATGATAACGTTTTTGGAGGGGTATATTGGTGTTTAGCATAAACCAACTTGTGTACTTCCTAAGAACGCGCGCGCTCATTGGTTAATTGGAGGTAAATATTGTACGATATTCACCTCTGAATCTCGGAATATTGAGTCGGCAACAAAATGGCATCTGCTGGCAATCGTTTTGCTACAATTTCCGATGAGGAAATTGAAAAAACGAAAGTAAATGTCATTCCTATCAATACTGAAAAGGCAACGAAGTATGGCCTAAAAGTTTTACTAAACGTTTTGCGTGAATTTGTCACGCAAACTAAAAGTTTCTGTTTGTTTGTTTTTATTGAATTATTGTATATAAAAATAAGTTACTCTGTACACTAGTTGGTATATGCTAAAACCATTATTCGCCTCAGGCTCAGTGAATATGGAGAATATTTACCTCGCCGCTCGATCGAAGACTCGCGTCTCGGTAAATATTCCCCAATATTCACATCGCCTTCGGCGAATAATTGCTAAATATTAGTCATTTCGAGGTTAAGGAAAAAACTGGGTCTAGTTGACATTACAGTGCCTTGTGGGACTGTTTCGCAAACATTCCGCTCCATTAACTATGTACTTACCTTTTAGGACGCACAGTTATCATACGAGGAAGTCGTTTCCATGGGTCAAATGTTGGAGACAAGTAAAGCCACTCAGTACGGTCAAGTACTACATCATATCAAACCAGAAAAACAGGAGTTATAGGGTCCTTGAGCGACAAAAATACATGAATAAGGAAAATAAAGATGTACGGTTTATTCTTGCTGTAATTTAGCTTTCTTTTTTGGCAATAGGACTCCTCGGCTCTGACGTAATGTTTACCCATTTCAGACCACGTGTCATTCCCTAGAGTATCATTTCTTTGTTTAAGGTTTGCGCTAGGTTGCACATGAAAAAACACATGAATATGGATACAACTCAAACAAAGAATATTATTCTCAAGGGAATGACACGTGGTCTGAAATGGGACAACATTACGTTCGCGCGCTCCAGAGCCGAGGAGGTCTATTATATTGATGACCTTTGGTTGTGGGTGTGAACAGTCGTTGATGAATTCCCTATAGCCATCCTCTGCCCTCGCCTCTCCAAAGGTCCCTGCCATCTCTCTTATCTTAACAAAGGAAGCTTTTAAAGCTTTTGGTAAGGGTTTTGAATTGCTATCCGAGAAAATTACCTCTATCAAAAACCTTACATAAAACCTTTTGTTGATGGAGGTACAGTAGGCTGATGGTCAGACCCTCAATTTAGTATACAGCGCATTCAAGGCGCTCTTAGACTACCACTACTTTGCTACTGATAAAACTTACTACTTACACTACGTGGTTTTACGTACGGTGCATTCTAAACGACCTGATATCAAACTTTTTCCCAAATAAAACTGTCGTTCTCCTGGCAATCCATATTTACTAAGGTCTGGGAGTGAACAAGAATTTTTGTTGTTGATTTTTCCGCCATTTGAAGCTTTAAAGTGTCGAAAATATGAATCAAACCTGCAGATATTATAGCGAAGAAACACTTGAAAGTGTCCGCCATCTTGAATTTGCTTAAAACCACAGGGAGCCCACGCCAACAAAACTATAATTTTGATACATATATATGCGTGCTAAAGGTTTCTCTTTTTTAACTTTTAGTTATTCATCTCTTTATACTGAGTTTTCTTTTCGTTTTACAGACTCTTTATTCTCAGGCATGAATACTTTGGTTTCTGTTAGCAATTAGTTTTTTCAGTGTCATTAGTTTTAAAGTCATTAGTAGACTTTTAGCATCGTTATTATATTTTCATAGATTATAATTCGATATATATGTGGTAATTTTTGCTCCTTTCGTACTTATTGTAAAGTGAACTTCATGATAGTAAAAGGCGCTACATAAGTGAATGAATTAGTTGTGGTAGTAGTATCCTATGGCCCCGTCCACACTATGCCGGATAAATTTGAATCCGAATTTTTATTTATTCGGTTAGGCCTACCGTCCACACTAGTCCGAGCGAATCCGGAACAATTTTTCACCGAAAACTTATGATAAGTGCACTTACAGATAGAAAATCTCACTAATAATGTAATATGTGTGTTTTTATGAGACGAAAACAAACAGGATAGGATTGAAAATAAATTAAATAGAGCCATTAGTAGAAAAATATTCATAATTAGTGCTTAAGTATCTTACTAATTGAATGGGGTCTGTCTTTTGCTGACAGTTTTTATAAGGACTAAAAAAATATCACTAACAAATAAATTAAAACTTTGAATTTCAGAACCACAAAGAACTCGGCGACACTATGACAGTACGCGCGCGACAAAACGGACTCGGCATCGCCTAGCCACATTAACACTGCTTTTATTAAATATTATTATTGGACACTTTGGCCTTTGAAGACAGACTATACAGTATCTTTAGAATCAAACTGCTTAATCAAGAATTCTGGTCAGTATTCAAAGACATTCTACATGCAAATAAAGGTAAATTATCACATACGTCAAGTATATTTTATCTTTAAAAAATCTTGGCCAAGTTCCACGGCTATACAAATAATTTAAATCAATTTATATATTTTTGATAATTTTAGTCAATACATACTCAAAGACATTCTACAAGGAAATAAGGTAAAATATTGCATACGTAAAGTATTATTTGTCTTAAGACCAAGTTGCACGATTATAAGTATAACTTACTGTAAAACTTGTTTTTTTAATTCGAGTACTCAAAGATATTCCCGCTACAAGGAAATGTAAAATATTATACAAAGTATTGGGGTTTTTTTCCTTCTTAATCACCTGGCCAAGTTCCACGGTTATTCGAAAAGTTTAAAATTCAAGTTCTTTCTTTAGTTTCTTATCTTTCTTTTCGCGTTTTTCGAGGAAAACTTCCTCCAATTCTACATGAGAAGAGAGATGACTATTTTGACAAAAATGTGATTTTTAATTTTTTTCTAAAATTCTATAAACCATTTTTGTCAAAGACGTTAAACATTTATAATTGAGAATCATTATTTCTTAATTAATGATTGGCTTGAAAACCAACCAAAAATGTTTTTACCAACTAGGATCGGTTGCCATAGAAACCAATGGCGAGGATAGGGCTAGCTATACTCCAGGGGGGAGGGGTTACAGGTGTTTGCTACTTTTATTCTTTTTTTCTTTTAAGAGAGAATTCTTTTCGTACTCAAGCAGTGAGCGCCAAAAACTATTTTCTTGAAAAAAGGCTGTACGTTGCACAAGGCTAAAATCTTGTTATTCAGAAGTTTAACTCGTTTGGAAGTGGGGATGACCGATGAAAGTGGAATCAAAGTGTTAACCCAAAGCAAAAATTTGAATCGAAAATGAGGTTTAGGCCTTCATTTGCTTATTTCGCCATATATTTTCTATAAAAGAAAGCTTGACAAAGCAACATTCTAACACAAGTGCAGCAAAACATCTTTGTCCAATTGAAAATACCGCTTCAAACAGGCATTTTATCATAGTACATCAGTCTCTAACGTTTAAAAAAGGTTTTGAGTGTTAACCCAAAACGAAAATTGGATCAAAACTCATACGAAAGTCTAGTTTTTGGCGCTTTTTGCCGTCATTGCTCATTATTGAAAAAACTTTCCTCTTAAAGTGAAAATAGCTGTTTCTGGTTATTATCTTGAATTCAATGAAAAATTCGTCTGTGAATGGTTCTGCTTTAAGCATGCGAATAAGTATAAAGATGGAATAGAGTGCAAACAATATAACCGTGAAACTTTAGTAATACTAAATAGCACAATTTCATGCAAATTCCATTGTTTTCTATTGTTTAATTAGGATTATTTTGTACTATTTAGTAATTAGTGTTTCATGGATTAATTGTTTGCACTCTATAAATATAGAATGTAGTGGTAGTGCGTGAGAAGTCAAATTCACGAAGAGGAGTTATGGTATGTTGTAAAATATAAATATAGGTATATAACTTAACCCCCTTCCCTCCCACCCACAGTCGCTATTTTGTCCCTAAGGTCAGTTCGATTTCAAGCTTTGAACATTCATAATATGTAATTAACAACCAAAAATAATTATTTTGAGTAATCGAAGCGTGAACACTCGAGTTTTTCAACCAATCAGATTACGAATCGAAAACAATAGGATTCGGGATACATGTCACGAATTGAAAGTCTATAAAAGGTATTCAAGGATATAATATGATAAAAGAGAAAGAAAAAAATAAAAGTATATTTACACAAATAAGAAATAAAATTACAAAACTCGAGTGCTCACGATGAGAGTAGAACGTACGATAGTAAACGAGCAACCTTTCAACACACTTAACACGAGGTAAAAGTGTTTGAAACTCATACTATAGTCACTTCACAGGGAGAGAAAACAGCTTTACATTTTCTGTATGGACTCTGTATAGCGTACTCAGCAGTAGACGGACAAACAAATGAATGTAAATATCAAAGGTAAGCTTTGGTTTTATTTAAAATTTGAAGCTTTAAATCTACAGAATAGTCTGATTTGCATGTCGTGCAGTTAATTTATGATAGTAGGCAGATTAAGATACCCGGCAAACTTGATCACGTTTTCATCGTTTTCCTACATTTCACTTTACCTTTTACAAACCTTCTCGACAAAGATAAGTATTGGAGATTTTTGAGATTTTTTTTCACTAGTTTTAAATAATTTTTTAATGCCCGGTCCACTGAAGTTTCCGAAAATGCCAAAAATGTTTATTAATATAGAATGTAGGCGGTAGTGCGTTACAGGGAATGGTGGTTGTAAAAAATATATAATATAAAGATGTTTATCTTCGAACTTGGTTGAACGTTTTAAAAAAACTATTTTCCTCAATCTGTGCACGGGCAAATTTGTATTACAAATGAAACCCGACTTTCGAACATTATTAAGGACAGCCGTCCTTTTATCATTTCAAATTCGCGTGAAATGTGGGTGTTATTTCAGCATAAATTTCAATATTGACAGATCTTGAAATGATCTTAATAAATTTCTGACTAGACTATTACCTATCGTTGAACCGAGTCGTCGTTCGCAGACTGATTTCAACAACCGTCATTCAAACAACTGAAATTAAAAAAATCTCTCGAGGATGATTTTGGGCTGAATCAAAATTTTAAAGGGGTAGAGAATTACAATCTTTAATTCAGTCTTAAATTTCCCTGAATAAAGCGTGAACATAAATCTGCCTGAAAAAAGTGTAAACAGATATTGGCTGTATTTACCGATTTTACTTTACCCTTGATTGACTTTGTAAACATTGAAGCACCAAAATTAAGATGACTCAATTTGCTTACTTGCATGCTAAATCGATTTGGCATTGAAGTTGCTTGAATTGTATTTATTTTAATACACATTCTCGCACTGAAATAATTTAGTGTCTTTATTTTCATGAGGACGGGTTACCTGTGGAGCAGTTGTTTGACATAGGGGCCGACACGTCACAGGGGCCCCACATTACGCTATACTCCTGCACATTTTTTTGCAAAAATAGCTTTGGCACCTGTTTTTATGCCGTTAATCGTTCAAAAAACTAGCATTTTATGAATTACGGTAAGCTTATATTGAAATGTTTCGGAGCTTTCTGTTTGCTTGTAGTATAGTGAGTAATTAAGAGTTAACACTATGGGTTTTTTTTCTAGTTTATGAAGTCCCTTCGCCGTTGGATCTGAACGCCCTTACCTTCATCTAAAAAGACGATATTCTTTATGATTCATGCATTGGGAAGTATTCAATCGTTGGTTCTTTGGTGATAACGATTCATGTCATTTAACTGTTGAAGATTGAGATCGAGTGCTCATTGTTTGGTTTCGAAACGTTATAGTTGTTCGCTAATAGCAAACACCATCAACGAAAGAGTTTTTCACGCAAGATTGAATATTATATCCACGAGGCTTGCTTTACAGATAAAGAGTCATAATATAAACTTACTCTTGGCAGTACGACTCCTTGTATAAATCGTTGATTTTACTCGCTGAACTTCTTAATTTTTTTCCATAGTGTAGAAAAACAGGTGGAAGATCTGTGTTTTATATATTTATATATTCCGACAACTAATAAGTTTGGCAAACACAGTCGCTCATCAAAGCCAAGCTTCAAGTGTGAACGTGTCCTTTAGTTTTTGCTGGCATTGGAATTTCAATATCGATAAATACCAGCAGTAGAGCAATGACAATGCGTTTAGTAAACTGTAGATACGTTTTTTTAAGTCGAAGAAGATTGAAATATTTCATCCTAGTTCTGATTTTTTTCGCCGTGGTTCTGAACCTGAGTATTCTCCAGCAGAAGCCAGTGGAATATATAAAAACAACGGGTCTCGTAAGACCTTGGAGATTTATCAATGATGTTTTGTTTACGTCTCTCAAAACAAATGCTTCTTGTCCTACGAAATTACTATGTTTGATACTCGTCTCAAGCAACGTTGGTCATTTTGACAGGCGACATTTAATACGGAAAACATGGGGGCCGGATAATTCTCTTCGTCCAAAGTGGCGAACGGTTTTTTTATTAACTACGAATGATAACGAAGAAGAAATGAAGCGACTAGCGTTGGAAGAACAACTCTACGGTGACATTGTCCAAGGAAATTACAAAGAGTCATTTTTTAATATGGCTTTTAAGGTTGCGATGGGTTTCGAATGGGCAATAAAGTATTGCCAGTTTGACTACTTACTCAAGACAGATGACGATATCTTTGTCAACACTCATGGGCTGCTCAATTATTTGCAAGATAAAAACACTGCTAAAAAAGGCCTTTATACTGGAAATCCAATGATTGGGAGCCCTGTGCTGAGGGACGGTAGATATAAAGTTGAGTACGATAGAGGAGAAGGGAGAGACGATCGCCTGAATAAGACCATGTTTGCACCATATTGTAGTGGAGGAGGATTCGTCCTTTCCAGAGACGTCGTCATGGTGATGCTGGATCAGTTCGACTTGGAACATCCACTGAACATTGATGATGCATACATTGGTGAGTTAGCAGAGCGAGCAAATATTAAAGTTGTAGTGAATTCAAAGAACTTTATGATGTATGTTGACAACTGCAAATACAACGTGGAAGCATATGTTCAGCACCCAGCCAAGGGACAATGCCTGCAAAAATTGTTTGCACAACATACAATGTACTTGGATACTGGGAAACTACCTCCCACTACTAAACCAACTACTAAGCCTACCCAGCCACCTAAAGTAGCTACCCAGCCACCTAAAGTAGCTACCCAGCCACCTAAAGTAGCTACCCAGCCACCTAAAGTAGCTACCCAGCCANACCCAGCCACCTAAAGTAGCTACCCAGCCACCTAAAGTAGCTACCCAGCCACCTAAAGTAGCTACCCAGCCACCTAAAGTAGCTACCCAGCCACCCAAAGTACCTACTCAAACACCTAAAGTACCCACCCAGCCACTCAAAATAGCTACACAGGCACCCAAAGTACCTACTCAGCTACCCAAAGTACCTAAACAACCACCAAAAGCAGCTATAGCAATATAACAACATCAAGCACAAGTCTAACCAACAAGAATGCCTACAATGACTCCCACATTACCAAAACAGCCACTCAAGACATCTATCTAGCCACTGAAAATGACCATAAAAGTGTCTAGTCTGAACACGTAGCAACTGCAACTGACACATCGACTGAAATGCATTGGTCATTGCAAATATTCTCTGACTTAAAACAAGCCAGAATGTGGAATCAAGTGGAAGATTGTTTTTATTGAAGGTGTGTTGTGGTTTCAGGCAGCATGCATGGGTGAATTTATGGGTGAGCCTAAAGGCCAATGACCCCCAAAATTCCACCTCTCAAATACTTAGTGTTAGCAGCAACTGGTAGGATTGAGATTGGCTAAGATCAATATGATACTGATTCTGCTCTCTCTTGATTGGTTCATAGCCACAGTTGTATTGTTAACTTTTTAACAGTGGATAACTATAGATTACATTACCAAGAACTAGTCTAGGTGGGTTTGGAGTCCAAATTTGGGTGTTTGTTCTACAAAGATATTATAATTATTTTTACTTTGCTTTAGATTTTTCGTTGACATTTTACTTGTTGCAGTTTAATAAAGGATATTCTGATTTGGGTCCCCTTCTTTACTTCAGCATTGAAAGTGGGTATTTGGAAATGGAAGTTTTAAGTCATAACTCAAACAATAAATGGATTGAAAGATATAGATATGGGTGGCCTGTTCGACACGAAGTTCAATTACCACTTAATCATATCCTTTTTGTAATCATACATAAGAAATAGACACAAATAAGAGTGCAGAATAATCAATTTAGTGTGTATGAAGAAGTAAATCAATCCAGTTTTTCCTGGTATAAAATAAACAGTTTATCAGCAAATCAATCAATCAGCAAATCAATCAATCTTCTCTGATTGGCTGAATATGAAAATTCTGTTCTGTGATTGGTTCTCTCAAAAAGATGCAATTAAGAGCTCCTAAGGATGCGATTTGGGAATTAATCACACTCCTTTGAACCAATCAGATTGCAGGACTTGGTAGTGTTACAAAAAGGATATGATTAAGAAAAAACTAATGTTACAGATATAAGAGAAATTATATTTATATAGTACATCTGAATTTACTCTCTTTTTGATTGATGATATGTAAGTTATAAGAAGATGGTGCCTACATTAGTATGCGCTGTAAAATTCAATAATTATTCCCCAAAGGCAAAGTCAATATCAGGGAATATTTACTGAGATGTGATTCTTCAAGCGACGAGGTAAATTATTCTCCATATTTACTGAGTCTGAGGTTCCACCCTCCTTTACTCTCTTATTAATTCTTTCATTCCTTTCTCCTTCTTCTCTTCCTTGCTTCCTCCTTTAATCTTTAATCATGTACTCTTAACACATTTAAAGAAATATACTAATAGATAATAATAATAAAATAGAATATATATAAATATGTATATAAATATAGTAGATTCATTAAATATATAATAAGTAATATATACAGTATGAGTGGCCGTGTTGTATCAGATATACCAACTCGAGAAGTAGCCGAGAGTTTGTATATCAGATACAACATGGACATGAATACTGTATGTAATATATACAGTATGAATGGTGGTGTTGTATTCGATATACAAACTCAAGGCGTAGCTGATGGATGCCGAGAGTTTGTATATCCGATACAACACGGCCACTCATACTGTAGATTACTTATCAAACATCTAGTTTAGTTCCTTTGTGTTCCGCTAAAATTTTCAAGATAAAAGTGAATCTGGCCAAGAAAATCCATCTTAAAGTTTATGCAAATAAACAGGATTCTGTATCTGATTTACAAATCTCTTCATGGTTGTGGTTTCTGTTGTGTTTTCCTCATGAGTTATTAATGAGTTTAATAAATCACTTATCAAATGTCTGGGTTAGTTCCTTTGTGTGTCACTGAAATTTTCAAAATTAAAGTGAATCTGGCCAAGAAAATCCATCTTAAAGTTTATGCAAATGAACAGGATTCTGTATCTGATTTACAAAACTCTTCAAGTTTGTGATTCTGTTGTGTTTTCCTTGTGAATTATTAATGAGTTTGATAAAGCAGAAAAAATAATTAATGAGTCATTGGACATTCAGCTTTAGTGCGGGAAGGGGTGCACACGACCCAATGCACCCCCCCCCCCCCAAAGCTTGGTTATGAATGGGGGTACTTCGATAACACTAAACAATTATTTTTTTTTGCTATATAAGGGACTGGTCATTGATTTATCGAGAGGGTGGGCTGGCGCAAATAGGGGGTGGGTCAGCATTTTTTATGCATAAGTTTAAGCAAAAATCATGCTTAAAGGAGAAGGGGGGTCAACAAAAATCAAGCATAGCATATTTAAATATTGCACCAGCCCCACCCCCCATACTCCTCTTGATAAATAATGACCAATCCCTAAGATTAAATAGATAATTTTTGGCCAAAATAATACAAGCTTAAAAAAAATTCACTGTAACATTTTTTCCCATAAACAAAAAAAAAACAAGCCCTAAAATATCTCTGAGCGTTGGTTTTTTGGTCATTTTCCAAAACTTGGGGATTATTTCAAGGACTTCCGACAAGTGCTGAAGATATCAGGAAGCTGCCAAAGATGTCGAAAGCCTTCTCATTAATACCATATAGGTAACTGTCCAATTATTTTCTTAATTGGACAGGTCTTGTTGATATGTGATTAATTAGGCAGCTATATAATTAATAGGTAATAGGATTTCATGCTCCCCAATTAAGAAATAATTAGACTCGGCCTACAGCCTCATCCAATTTTGCCAGCTGTCCTCAGAATTTTCCTCGGCCAATTATTTCTTAATTGGACAGCATGGAGTCCTATTACATATACTTAGTGTTTTCAATATGTGGCTAGTAATCAATGCAAAAACAGAATAAGAATGTTTTTTTGTTTTTTTTTTGTTTTGTTTGTACTCTATGTGTCATAGAGTACAAACACTATAAGTGTGTAACATAAATGCCACTAAATACTGCAAAATTATGCTAATCCTATTGTTTTCTATTGTTTAATTAGCACTATTTACTACTAAATAGTGCAAAGTGTTGCACACTTTTAGGGTTTGTACTCTAATGGTCCAGATTATCCAGATAGTTCCATATGTTTAGAAATCAAGGCGGGAATAAGCGCGTATAGCGCGAGCAAATCTACTACAGTAAAAACCTGAGTGTAAGAACCTAGTGGTTTAAGAACCTGCTGGAAGAAATTTGAAATTTTAATACCCAAAAATATAAGAACCTGTTTAGCCAAGCAAGATCTAGCAGGTTCTTATATGTGGATTTATATACACCTAGCCATAAGAATTCTGCAACTTTACATATATATATATATATGTCATTTGTTTTTCTATCCTTTCGGCTCTTGAGAACAAAAGACATATAAATATCTGAAGTTACAGAATTTTTTTCGTTAGGTGTATATATATGTAGTGTTTAAAAAACGAGTAGGAGTGTTTTATCAGGTATAAAAGCACTCGGCTACGCCTCGTGCTTTTATACCTGATAAAACACGATCTACGAGTTTTTTAAACTGCTTAAAACACTCATGAACAATTTATTTTATTTTAGATTTTGGTTCAACTGGAGCCACCATACACGTCACGAACATGAATTTTTATACTTCGATAGAGATTTGACGTCATGGGCATGCGCAACCAGATTCAATAGAAGCTCCCACACGTTGGATATTGCGTGCCAAGGCAAAGACAGGCACGTTAATCAAAGATCTTTATAGGGTTGACTATGACCTTGATGAAGCTCTATGTCTTCATCTAAACTTGGATGCATACTTCATCCCTGATGAAGTCATCCTCATAGTATTCGAGTGGTCTTTATATAAAATCACTTGAATACTAATGAAGAGGACTTTATCGGGTATAAAGGTTCATGCACGTGACGTGTATGGTGGCTCCAATTGGGACATAAGCTTATGAATTATTAATGATGTTTTAAATATATATATATGTATATATATCATACACACACACACACACACACATATATATATATATATACTATATACAACTCTTCTTGTACATACATATAGTTATATAGTTATATACATTCTGTAATCAGTTTGGGACTCCAACCTTCTCTTATTTCTTACTGGTGGGGGAAAAAATCCTTAAAATGGGCTAAATCAGGTAAAATTTCGAGGCTTTATTTCACGTTTCAATGATTTTATTGAAATTTTTTTGATGAATCCCCATACATTACCTTATAACATGACACCACAGAAACCAAGCTTGGGCTACCTGTGGTTTTTACTGTATACGTTATGTCTGCACCAATGAAATTAGCATTAAAAAGATGAGTCATTAAGAGAATCTTATGACAGTTTAGAAAAAAGTGGGGATACATTTCTTTATTTGTTTATTGAGTGTTCAATTGATGTCAAATTTCATCAAGTATATCCATAGTGACAATATTCAAATGTGAAAAACACCCGGAAAACATCTTTATTCCCGGCTTTATTCCACAAGAATCTGACCAGAAAATAGCACTTACCACTTAATTCAGATTGACCTTCATCACCTAAGACAAATGGTGTCTTCAATTTCCGATTGCTGTGGGTAACAATGCTGTAATTCTTTGTTTTTCCGTTAGAAGTCTGTCATGCCAAACTTTGATAAGCTCCTTGATCCCAAGAAATTCCGTCAGACGTTTCTTGACAGCTGATAGAGTTGATTGCTTGGAAAGATCAAAAGTTACCCTGCTTCGTTGTCTTTCAACAGCAGAATCTTCTCTGATTCTATAAAAACTAACGAGAGTTTTGACAACACCAGAGAGCGAGGCCGCCATGATACTTTTTCTCGCCTCCTGACACAGGGAGCCCAATTTTTTAAATTCGAGGGAGGAGTATTCTCTACTATCACTTTGCGTCTTTGGGGGGTAACTAGAGGGTAAAAACCCACTTATTTTGATGAAGGCTTATCAGACAATGTTGAAAATACCTTGTTTTTTTAATCATTATTTTATTTATTACCAAATATAAATCATGAGTACACATAACAAATAATACAAATAATTACAAATAGTGGTTACAGATGGTGCTACGGGCTTACTTGTCTTAATTCAGATAATAGTTCTTGAAGATTTTGATATTTATTTACATGAGAGTGTAACTTGCCTTTTTTTCTGGCAATTCTTCTTTCTATTGTTTCATGTTCTAAAAGTTTCATTTGAAATACAATAATATTGGGCCTAGAGCCTCTAATTCTAGCATTATATAATACATATTTATATAATAGAAAAAGAAATTCCTCCATTACATTTTTACTTCCTCCTAATATTACGTTTTTTGAATTCAATTCAGGTAATGTTATATACGCTTTTTTTAACCAATCTTTTATCTTTGAAAACAGTGTGTTTGAATATTTGCATTCAACAAAGAAATGCTCTAATGTCTCTACGTAGACGTGTGACAAAAGGAACAATTTGGCGATTCTAATATTCTAAACTTATAGAGGTCTTTTTTAAGAAAAAGACAGTTATTTAAAATTTTATACTGGAATGCTCGTAACCTGATTTCATTGGTAATCATAAACACACTCTGATAAACCTTTAACCACTCAATAAAATGAAGAAGTAAAAAACAGAAAAAGATAGAAGCTTGAACATTTTTTCGTAAGTCAATACATTTTCTGTAAGACCAAAACTCTTGGTGATCTGTACACGCAAAAATAACTTGGAACAAACTGATAATCAGTATTGTACAGATAAAAGCAGGTATAGTATAAATGCAATTAAGAAACCTTTCAATTTGGGACAGTTTTTTGATTGGTTACCCGCCAAAGACGCAAGGCATTATGGGGATGTGAAAGTAGGGAATATAAGATCAACATCAGATACCATAGGGAAATTATATAGGAAAACAAAGGCGCGCGCGAAAAAAAATGTTCTAGTCAGTCCATTTTTCATTGAATTATTGCTCTTTCGCATTACCCCCATTAGCCCCAGTACTCCCCAGATTAAAGACTCAAAAAGAATTCAAAAAGCACATAAAAGTTGAAAATTCAGAAAATGCTCAAAAAAATTGGGGTCTCCTTCAAAACACTAAACATTATTTTTTTCGAAAACAGTAAACATTGAAAAAACTAGACGCATGACTGCGTGAATTCGGGCTTTCTCTTTAACCGTGAAACTCCATAGACTCCATAGTATTCGCAGTCAGCAACGAGACCTTGAGACAATCCGCCATTACTCGTCGACCATGTGCTTTTACGGCGCATACTACCACGCATGCGCACTACATAGAATCAACGCATGCGATGTGACCGAACGCAAAAAACGAAGCCCAATTTATAACTCGGCCGTTTCCTTCGGAAAAGCCCGAGTAATGATCAATTTAACATTAAACACTAAAAAATATGGCCAAATAACACTAAACACTAAACCCCGTTCAGACCCTCAGTCTGCAAAAACAACAGAGTAAAGTGGCTTGTGACACTCACATGGTGTTCGACAGAACAAGACTCTTCTTGTTTCAGCTCAAACAGGAAAATAACTTTCAGTTGAGTAAATATGCTGATCAAATGCAGTCGTTTCAGCTTTGATTCAGCATCTGCTTAGCACTCACTGCTGATCCTTCTCAGTGCTAGTTAGACGACATATACCAGCCGTGTGCATGTGTGGACTACTCGATCTAAAGGCTCATTTGGTTATCGTTCTTCCGCTAATGTAAGTGACTAAGTTAATTCTTCCTGCAGATTCAAATTCAAACTACATTCAATGTAATTATCTGCTCTTAAAGAGCTCTAAATATTATAAATGTGTAAGTTGTAATCCCTTTTAACTTAAAATACAAAGATTTTTCACAATTTTGTTTCACTTTGTAAACGAATTCAAGCCATTCAAACGGTAAAAATGTTGAAGCATTTCGGCTTAAACTGGCCTCTCGGCCTCTTCTACTTTTCAATGTTTCAAATGCCACATATGGCAAGCCATACCATTCACGGACCGTATTGAGTTTCCGATTGGCGATCGAAATTGCATTTGGCTATCGAGAAATCGATCGCTATGAACCAGAAATTGCAACTAGTGAAGGAGAATAATTATCGGTGATTGTGAAATCGCGATCGATGATTGAAAATTGCGACTGATGAACGAGAGTCACGATCGAGATCGATTGAAATCCCAAGTCACGTGATCGTACTAGGAGATTTGTAATTTCTTTCGTTACCCCGTTGAGATGAGATGAGATGAGATGAGATGAGATGAGATGAGATGA